TAACATGGCGAAGGCTGAGATGTAAATATATTAGATAAATAAATAACAATAACAACAACAACAACAACAATAATGTTGGAAGGGACTTTGGAGGTCATCTAGTCCAACCCCCTGCTCAGGCAGGAAACCCTATACCGTTTCAGACAAATGGATGTCCAGTCTCTTCTTAAAAACTTCCAGTGTTGGAGCATTCACCGCTTCTGGAGGCAGGTTGTTCCACTGATTAATTGTTCTAACTGTTAGGAAATTTCTCCTTAGTTCTAGGTTGCTTCTTTCCTTGATTAGTTTCCATCCGTTGCTTCTTGTCCTGCCTTCCGGCGCTTTGGAGAATAACTTGACTCCCTCTTCTTTGTGGCAGCCCCTGAGATATTGGAACACTGCTATCATGTCACCCCTCGTCCTTCTCTTCGTTAAACTAGACATACCCAATTCCAGCAACTGTTCCTTATATGTTTTAGCCTCCAGTCCCCTAATCATCTTTGTTGCTCTTCTCTGTACTCTTTCTAGAGTCTCAACATCTTTTTTATATCATGGTGACCAAAACTGGATGCAGTATTCCAAGTGTGGCCTTACCAAGGCATTGTAAAGTGGTATTTACACTTCATGTGATCTTGATTCTATCCCTCTGTTAATGCAGCCTAGCACTCTGTTGGCTTTTTTGGCAGCTGCAGCACACTGCTGGCTCATATTTAAGTGATTTTCCAGTAGGACTCCAAGATCCCTCTCACAGTTACTATTATTGAGCAAGGTACCCCCTATACTATACCTGTACATTTGGTTTTTATTGCCTAAATGTAGAACCTTACTCTTTTCACCATTGAATTTCATTTTGTTAGATAGCGCCCAGTATTCAAGTGTGGCAAGATCCTTTTGTATTTTAAGCCTGTCTTCCTGCCAGCTTGGTGTCATCTGCAAATTTGATGAGTTCCCCATCTATCCCCTCGTCCAAATCGTTGACGAGGATGTTGAAGAGCACTGGGCCCAGAACAGAGCCCTGGGGCACCCCACTACACACTTCCCTCCATGTAGATGCGATTCCATTGAGGACCACACACTGAGTACGGCCGGTCAGCCAGTTACGGATCCATCTGAATAGAGCATAAGTTCATATAATCACTGCCTTTCTTACTGTCTCATTTATTAATTTTTAATCACAAGTATTGTAGTTTAGAAGGAATTTCAATCTTGGAAATAAGAAGGAATATCCCAACCATGAGAACAATTAGGCAGTGTAACAACCAGTCATCTGGAATCATGACTGCTCTGTCACTGTAGATTTTCAGCCAAAGGTTTGTCTGGAATACAATGACGATTCCTGCCCTTGGCAAGAAATCAGCCAGAGACTAGTAGCACATTTTTCAACTAACTAATTTTATTAAAAGGCATAGGTTTTCATGGGGTGAAGCACACTTCATTAGATGCATAGAATATCTTCAAGGTTCCCACAAATTCTGTGATTCTGTAACTTTTACCTAAATTATTACAAATGGAAGCTCCATAACTGGACTATGTAGAAACCTGACTTAGGGCAATTGCATACTGAATGGAAATGTGATTCATTTCACAAACGTGAAATATGTCCAAAATACTAAGTGATGTAACTTAGTGTAGTTAGTCATAACTACATATTAGTATATAAGTTAAGCTATTGTAATTAGGTACATTTTCTATTTGAAAGTGTAATTTGCTAAAAATCTTCTCATGTACTCCTATTACCCATATAAGTTGGGTATACAGACACAGAGAATAATAATATATGATCTGCCACAGACTAAGGTAAAGCAGCGTCTATTCAAATGCATTCTTTTTATACCGCTTATGGACTTTTTGCATAAAACAAAAAAAATGTATGATTTATGGTTTCTGTGATTATATTGGATAATTATATAAAGAATAGGCTCAGGATGTAACTTTAGAGAAAGAGGTAAACTCATAAATTATAGTTATAACTGCTGTAAAGGAGATTGAAAGCCATTTCTTTATCTTTTTCCTTTCTTTTCTATTTTTCCTTTACATTTTCTTTTTTTCTTGCATTTTCCTTCTCTTATTGATTCCTTTTCCTTTTTTCTTCCTTGGTATCTGTTTTTAATGTTTGTTTTTAAAACTTTTAATAACATTATATATAACAATGTATTCCTATTATTCTGATTGTTGAAAATTAAGTTGCCAGAGTCATGACATTTTATACAAAAGCTGCAGGTTTATCTGTGCATTAAGAAAAACAAGATTGATGATGTTACCTAGTTTTATAATGAAACATCTCCCAGGAAACCACAAGGTTTAGAGAGCACCAGGACCCCACAAAAACAAGATTGCACTCATATATATAATTATATATAATTTGGTTCACTTTCAATCTCACTTACAGAACTGTAGCAGGGTATGAAATGTAATGAAATGTGTTCCTTTTCTTTTTCTAAGCAATAAAACTTGGATACTCTCCATGATCAAAAAGGCTTGGGCAGCGGTTTCCCACTGCAACTTCTCAGCATAGCAACAAACTACGTTCATTGTTTTAAGTGCTCTTTATATTTACAAATAGTGGTATGCAAAGCATTTCAAATTTGAGTAATTACAGGTTTAAAATTATTTTGATAATGTTGGGACAGTAAGGCTGGAAAATTCCATTTAAACTTGAAAAATATCCAATTTGAAAGACTGTTTGAAATTGTTTAACAAATTTCTTTTGTTTTATTTAACACACTCCTACCTAAGTTAGTTCCATGTGTTCCCAGACAATATGTTTTAAACCTTTGTTTGTTTTGGGCGGGAAGGTTGTACTTTCAGACTTGCAAGATTTTGCTAATGTTAACTTACAATAAAGCAGAATTAGTTCACCTAGTCCTATTTCCTTGCCTGGTTTAACTTGGGAGGGTTGATACCCAGAGACACTTTTAGATACCTGCAGATACTTTCAGATGCCTGCAGTGGGAAGGGGAGTAAGTCAAATTAATTGGTAGATTTCCAATAGGATAGAAGACAGAAAGACTCACACTTTAAAATGAATATAAAGGTAATGGATATTGTTATTTTTTTAAAAAAAAATCTCATCTCTTCTATAAATCAGAGTCAGGCTTCTTCCCCACAACATAAAATAATAACAATTGTACCATACTTAGAAAGAAATTACTTTAATTTAACTACTGTATAAAGAAGTCAAGTATGAGAGATGACATCTCTATACAGTAGTAACTATGTATTCCAATACTCAACAGAGTACCAGGAAACATATGAAAAAACATTCAAATATTTTGGCAGTTATGAAATATTCTATAAATATTACTAAGATAACATGAATAATCATATATTTATAATTGAACCCTACTAAAATCAGTTTTGTTTATTAAACAGTTTTTCCCAACTTCAAAACAAAAATTCATTTGCAATCTGTAAATGTTATAAACCAAATTAAAACAGCTATGTAACTGATGGTAGTATGATAAAGTACTAATAGCGAAGGCTTTTTTTTATTTTCTTGATTTCTTTTGAAAGGCAAATTGATCGGTAACAAATCCACCTTGGAATTACTATATTCATACCATGAAATATTATGGAGAAGAATCTATCAGTTCATTCTAAATGGAGAGATTCTTGCAAAATAAAGTTGTTCAGAAAACAACTGTTTTGATGGAATTAAGTGACCTACTTGTTTCTTTTGATTTGTAATGCATATTTTCCAAGATAAATGGAAACCTTGTTTAAATCGTTGCAGACTCTAAAATTGTACAAGAACAGAAGTTACACAAATTACCATTTTAATCACTTTCATAGTATATTCATGTTGATTACCTGGTAAGTACACTATTATACTATTAATCCTGTCATGAATTCATTACTTTATATGTAGGAGTAACAGACTAGGCAAATACAATGCAACCAACTTTTTTTTTTAAATGACAATTCTAAATCAAAAACTGTACTGTTGGTAAATCTAGCATTGCCACATGATTGCAGCAATGTGCTTTTCCAAAACTGCAAAACTTCTGTTTCTTCCTCCTCCCGGAAAAGGAGATAAACTGCAACACACAGCAAAGTAGACTATAAGCCAACTATACATCATTATATTTATGAATAAAAAGCATAGACTGATATACACATTTTTTTTAAATGTGTTATGCATATTTTAAAAAATGTGTTATGCTTATGAATAAACAGAACAGAAACTGTTGATTGCAAAGATGGTCCTTCCTATACACCTGTAAGTTTATGGCTGCTCATATTGTCAATTTCTTTAGCTTAAGCATAGCACAATAAATTCAGACAAGCCTATGTGTGGCTCCCTTGTCCATTGTTCCTGTAGGAATTTGTGGGCATTTTAAATCTATTCGAATACATACAAGACAAAACATGAGCTCAGAGAATATGCAGGCACAAAGAATATTATGAATAACTGTATGTTCTAGCTTCAAATACTGATGTACGGCTCCCAATTTTTATAAAATGCAGTTGCAGGCACATGGCTGCAGAATAAATTAACAGGATAGTTCTTTCATTCTCTAACAATGCTATGAACACCTGAAAAAATAAACTAGCTTTACTTTCTATTGAAAAAATTAAGCAAATATTAAAAAAATGTTAAAAGGCTGACTTGTATTCAGTTTTATTTTTAACTTCAACCTTTATCTGTGTATAAGCAAGCCCATTTTCAGAGTGTTTTAAAATGATATCTCCTTATAATACTGTATATAGACAGAGCCCTGAAGCAAACACACAGGCACACAAGTGTACGGTTGTAAATCGTCTGCAGTGTGAGTTTTAAGCACTAGAGTGATTTAATAAAAGTCTTGCACAATAGAAATCAATTAACTGCACTTGAAATATTAATCCTTTCTTCAGAGCTTTCCTTTCATTCATACAATATAGCAGCCTTACACAGAAAACCCCACCACCTTCAATACATCTAAAAAGAAAAACAGGCTGCAATGCCTTTTTTAAAGCTGAAAACAATAGTAACCCCCTTTGTCATAGTAACAGAAGTAAAACATTTGTACAGTCCTTACTTGGAAAGTGCTCTGAGGCATAATAATATACATCCTCATAGCCCTCATGATAATCCTCCTCCGGACGGTACTTTTTGCCTTTTCTTCTCCTCGATCTCCTTATCTGCTTGACCAACCCCAAGAAACGCTCCATCTCTCATTCACCAGCCCACAGGCTCCGGTCCGTGTATCTTTTGTTGCTATTGCCCAGAGCTACACTTCACAAACAGCTGGTGGCAAAAGAATTGGACCAGCCAGCTTGATACCATTCAAATCCAGCTTCAGCTCTAGCAATAAAAGGACACTGCTTTACCTTCATCTGACTCTGCATTAAAATAATCAAAGGTATTATCTCTACACCTTAAAACAAATTCTTAAAAAGAAGAAACATAAGCTGAAAAGATAGGATCTTCATGGCAAGAACACTTTAATAAATGAAATAAAGTGGATCTGACAGCAAGAGGAATCCTAGCACTAGAATTTCACTATTCTCTGTCTCCATCATTTGAAGTGGGGCCAGAGGGGAGGAGATAAACGCTACTCAATGGACTGAACCACATCTGAAAACACAAGAGGTTTTCTCCAACATAATAATTACTCCTTGTTATTTATAATCATACAACCTCTAATCACTTAAAATTCCATTTATTTTTATTCGCTTTCTTCTTTTCCTTACTTGATTTACGGAATAAACAATGCACAGCTCATTCCTGCTACAAAACAATGCAATCTGAACAAATAACAAAGTGGTTTAACCCATATACACAGACCACTCAATGGCAAGCATGCACTGAATGTGTTAATTGGAGCAGCAAGAAGAAAGCTAGGCAGACGCTTTTTAAATAAAAAAAAATACACACTTGGCACTGATACACCCCAATCATTATGTGAACAAATATTACAATATATAGATCTCTATTCTTATGAATTCAAGGAGGCTTAAAGAAATTATCAAAGGAAACTAGAACTAAATATGCCTCAGTTGATTTAAGTTACTTATTTAAAAATCTTTTCCCTAGTTTCAAAACTTAAAAAAAAAGCATGTGCTATGAAGTTATTCGTTGAAACCTCTTTTAAAGCCTGAAAAATTTTCAATGCTTTCTATTTCCATGAATCTTAATTCACAAGCACTCTTGAAGATAAAGATGGAATTTCTAACAAAATCAGACCAACTTTTATTGAAAAAAGCTACCATAAGCCTAACTTTAAAACATAGCTAAATACCATAAATGGTATACATACAGTATAAATGGTATACATACAGTACCATTATTAAATCTTTTGCAATACAACTAATTCAGGGCAAAAAAAGGGAAGCGTTTCACACAATATATATTAAATTATGAAAATTACTAACAAAATAGGTGGTGCTCGTCATCATGGAAAGGCTTAAGACTAATTCATGGAGTATAAGTAGTTAGTAGATGTGACTGGCAAAGACTACTTCCAATTCAGGACTAGAATAGAGATACCAGCACATTGCAAGTGTGGTACAGCATAATGTCAATTACCTTATCAAATTATTTTAGACAATATGAGAAATCAGGTTACCACACTGACTCATGGTAGTTTTTATTTACTATCTTCCTATCCCTTCTCACCATAAAGTCAAAGCATGGCAATGAACACAAATTGTTGTGGAAAATAAATAAGAGAGTGTTATTGTACTCACTCTCTGCTAGGAAGTTTCTTATAGTTATCCAGCTGGCCATGTATAGTGAGAACTCTGGACAGATTGCAAGGTTCTTCAGGCACTTTGAGACTCCTAACCTTCCTCCTATGGCAAAGGATACCCAAACCTTGTTTCAGGAAATCTTTTTACTTTCCCCTCTGGGAGGCTCCAACCATTGCTGCAGAGATTAAAAAGGCCATTCTAAAATCTGTTCCATTTTATAAGAGTAACCACAGCCATCGGACACCACGGCTTGAATCTACTAGGGGCAACCAGAGAAGCCAGAATGCCTCAGAGGAAAGCAAATGACACCTTCCCAGCTTCTACAGATGCCCTGTCTCCCATAGGCTACTCTTCTCTTCTTATTTCAGCAATTTTCCTCCATTACGCTTTTCCCCAACCTTACTTCTTCCCCTTTCTTAATAATAATAATAATAATAATAATAATAATAATAATAATAATAATAATAATAATAATAATAATAATAATAATAAAGTTGGAAGGGACCTTGGAGGTCATCCAGTCCAACCCCCTGCTCAGGCAGGAAACCCTATATCATTTCAGACAAATGGCTGTCAAGTCTCTTCTTAAAAACTTCCAGTGTTGGAGCATTCACCGCTTCTGGAGGCAGGTTGTTCCACTGGTTAATTGTTCTAACTGTCAAGAAGTTTCTCCTTAGTTCTAGGTTGCTTCTCTCCTTAATTAGTTTCCATCCATTGCTTCTTGTCCTGCCTTCAGGTGCTTTGGAAAATAGCTTCACTCCCTCTTCTTTGTGGCAGCCCCTGAGATATTGGAACACTGCTATCATGTCACCCCTCGTCCTTCTCTTCATCAAACTAGACATACCCAATTCCAGCAGCCGTTCCTTATATGCTTTAGCCTCCAGTCCCCTAATCATCTTTGTTGCTCTTCTCTGTACTCTTTCTAGAGTCTCAACATCTTTTTTACATCGTGGTGACCAAAACTGGATGCAGTATTCCAAGTGTGGCTTTACCAAGGCATTGTGAAGTGGTATTAACACTTCACGTGATCTTGATTCTATCCCTCTGTTAATGCAGCCCAGCACTCTGTTGGCCTTTTTGGCAGCTGCAGCACACTGCTGGCTCATATTTAGGTGATTGTCCACTAGGACTCCGAGATCCCTCTCACAGTTACTACTATTGAGCAAGGTACCCCCTATACTATACCTGTACATTTGGTTTTTCTTGTCTAAATGTAGAACCTTACTTTTTTCACCATTGAATTTCATTTTGTTAGATAGTGCCCAGTGTTCATTTCTGTCCAGATCCTCCTGTATCTTAAGACTGTCTTCTGGAGTGTTGGCTATTCCTGCCAGCTTGTTTGAAATTGTTCATTCAAATAATTTCTCGTTTGAAATTGTTTATTAAAAGAACCCCAAAGTTGCCAGGAAGGAACTTAGCAGAAGAGAATTGCATCCAACAGAATAATAGACATCATATGCCAAGAATATGAGTTCAGTAAAAGGTTTGTATCCTTATCGAAACCATATACCTTTGATTTGTAACGCTGACTTAAAAGTGGATATATTTTGAAATATTATACTTTAGTCACATAAAAGACATCAAGAATTTTAAGGGAAACGTAAGAGTCAAGTTAAAACACTGAAAAAAGCCCAATAAGAGTTTTGAAAGCAGAAATAGTCTGCAGTCATAAAGCTTCTTCCAGTTATTGCTGCACAGTGATGACAATGATAAACTGTAGGATTTTATTCCTAGTAAGCTCAAGCAACCATGTTTGGCTTAGGGATAAAAATGACAAGCTTATATGCATTCTCTTAGCACAATGTAGATGTCCAGATTTTTCCAATAAAACAAAGCTCTGACATTTATTAATTCACTGGAAGTCCTTTATTAATTGTTTGACTCTCTAGATTTCTCTAATAGTTGCTCAATAGCTTTGTCAGATTTGTCAAATTCACATCCCATTTTCAGCCAGGATATCAAAATAGCTTATATGGAGATCTCCCTTAGCTTTATCCTCAGAACAACAACCCTACAGATTAGTTGGAGTGACTAGCCCCAAATCACCTAATCAAGTTCTAGATCTAAGGGTATACTTGAACCTTCCCCCCCCAATGCAGTCTTTACCAGTACACCACACATTGATTTAAGATTTTTCTTCCTCCTCCCGGAAAAGGAGATAAACTGCAACACACAGCAAAGTGTGTTCCGGTGGCAGGCGACTTCGTCGGTCGCAGCTGTTTGCTGCCTCCCGCCTGTTTCGCGTAAAAGCCGGTTTGACAGCCAGCACCAGCTGTCAAACGGCTTGATACCTTTCCCCTGGGCATAAGGGGATAGGTGAGCTGCCCGGGGTAGGAGTTGAGTTCCCGAGTCGTCCTATATGGACGATGTAGGTGAGAACTCCT